AGGCCGGCAGCATGGGGAGACCCTCTCTCAAAATAAAAAGGGCCAGGGATGGGGCTCAGTGCTAAAGTGCCCTCGGGTTCAGTCCCTGGTACCAAAAACAAAAACAAAACAAAAAAGGCTTATTTTGGCTCACAAAATTTCAGAGATTTTGGTTCCTGGCTTTATAGATGCCATTGCTTCTGGGCCTGTGGCAAGGCAGGGGCCTGTGGTCACCTTGTGCCAGAGAGCAGAAAAGAGAGGGGTAGGGCCCAGACCCCTGTGAGGGCACACCTCCAGTGACCCCTCACTGGGCCCCCTCACCTCCCAAGAGCACCAACCTGGGGACCAGGCCTTTAACATGTGGGCCCTTGGGGGACACTCAAGAGCCAAACAGCAGCATCTGATAACGTCTGGTGTTGGAGAAGATGTGGGACTGGGTTGTCCCTGCAGCTGGTGGGAGTGGACACTGGAGAGCAAGTTGGCAGAACTGAAGGCGCAGCCATACCACTGAGGGTTTCGAGACAGTTAAAAAGAATCTGTTATTAGAACACACTGACGCAGAAAAATGTAAGTAGAAAACAGGGAGCCGAGTAATATCGTACTGGTCCTCTGGTCCTGTTGCAGGGGGCTCATAAATGAGATGCTCGTAGATCCACAGGAAAGGTCTGGAAGGATGCCCCCAGACCACCCCCAATAAGGTGACTGACCTTTTTAACCATGAAACGTGTATTTGAAACATTTGCAGCACACAGAAAAACTTGTAAAACAATTTTTTTAAAAAGTTAACATTCCCATATAACAAGACATTTTAAAAAGGGAAAGCCACACTCTAGGTCTTTTTGCAACTCTACAGCTGAGAAATGAGTTCAGGTCTACTCATGGACACTTGCCAATCAGTAAGGAAGAAACACAAAATGCGGATGGCAATTCCCGCAGAATGGTCAACTAACACTGAGACGATGTGCAGTCACACCAGACTGCAGAAAACCTGTAGGGACCCCCTCCTGGTCCAATCAGCCCGGAGGGCACTTTAGCGATATCCGGTAAAGAAGCCAGACGCCTACGGCACAGTGAGCCCACTTCTACTTAAATGCTGAGAAGTTCATGAGCAAGGAGACACATTCCAGAATGTTCACTGCACCATGGTTTAGAACAGTGAAAAACTGGAAATAACCTCAATATGGTATGTTTACACGAGGGGACACCATGCAGCAATCAAAGCAAATGAACTAAGCAATATGTACCAACATGGAAAAAAATCTTTGAAACATGTTCACTTTTCACAGAAAAGTAACTTGGGCCCCTGAAGCGAATTTCAATGAATTTTGAAGAATTTAGATACTGCAGAAAATGTTTTGAGTCCATAATGCAATCGAGGTAGATATTAGTAACCATGGGTATATAATTCCCTTTTGACAAATTAGACATTGTAAATGTCCTAAATTCCACTAAATGGCACTTTGAAATAGTTTAACTTGAGGGCTGGGGTTGTGGTACGTGCAGGGCACTGATTTCCATCCTCAGCACCACATAAAAATAAATAAAAATAAAGGTGTTGTGTCCAACTACAACTAATATAAATTTATTTCATATATATATAACTTTTTTGGGGTGGGGGCAGTTACCAGGGATTGAACTCAGGGACACTTGACCACTGGGCCACATCCCCAGCCCTATTGTGTATTTTATTTAGAGATAGGGCCTCTAAATTGCTTAGTGCCTATATTGCTTAGGGCCTCGCCATTGCTGAGGCTGACTTTGAACTTGATCCTCTTGCTTCAGCCACTCGAGCTGCTGGGATGACAGGTGTGTGTGATCAATTTCATCATAATTTTTAAAAAATCAGTAACAAAAAATACCTAAAGTCCTCTAAATAACTAAAACAGGAGAAAGTATATGGAACCCAGAAAACCAAGTCATAAAGAATATATGACATTCGAAATTTGTGAGATGAAGGGAAAGTTACACTTAGAAATGTGGAACTTTTAACTCATTTATTAGAAAAGAGAACAAAAGCAATCAACGGCAGCCAGCCTAGGAAGGTGGAAAGGAAAAGCAAATCAGGGCTGGGGACAGCTTAGTGGCAGAGCCAGCACTTGCCTAGCGAATCTAAGGCCCTGGTTTTAACCCGGGCACCACCAAAAACCAAAACAAAAATCAGGAAAAAAAAATCGAATTACAAAAAGGGCTGGGGTTGTAGCTCAGTGGTAGAGTGCTTGCCTAGCATGTGCAAGGCACTGGGCTCAATTCCAGGCACCACATAAAAACAAACAAATAAAGGTAAAAAAATATATATATATATATATTTTTTATAATATATATATATTTTAATATATATATATTATAAAAAAATAATAAAGGCATGCAACCCATCTACAACCACAAAAAAATTAAAAAATAAATCCACAAAAAACATAGAAGGAAGCATTAGAACTATTGAATACAATTTAAAAACCAAATATTGAATTTAAAAATAAATTTTATTAGTTGTTGATGGACCTTTATTTATTTATTTACATGTGGTGCTGAGGATCGAACTCAGTGCCTCACACGTGCTAGGCAAGTGCTCTACCACTGAGCCCCAGCCCCAAAACCAAATACTGAGTGTTAGTAAAGCCAACAATTAGACTGCCTTTACAAAGATGAATATAATTTATAAGACTGATAAAACTGACAGCTCTCAGGAGATTAAGGATAAAATACAAATGCTCCGTCAGGCGTCAAAGAGTCACAGCTATAGGATTTCTGCCCGTGATAAACACCTGCAGCTAATCGTGAGGACATCATCGGCCTAATCTAGATTGACAGCCTACAAACCACCAGCCTGGCCATTTCTAAAATGCCAAAGTCGTGAACACGGGGCGCAGTCTGGGGAGCTGCCCTAGAGTGAAGGAGACACGTGACCTCTCAACTTCAGGCAACGCCCGGCCCAACCTTGAAAAACATCACCTGGAAGACGTTGAGTCATTTGGTAAAATCTGATCGTATGTCTGCAGCTTGGACAGTTTGGGTGACTGTCCCGTTGCTATGCAGGTGAGAGTCCTTGCTCTTGGAAATACATGCCAAGGCGCACATCTCAACTGACTCTCCAATAGTTAGGTTCAAACAGGCTCAGGGGTGCAGTCTAGAACTTAGTTTTAATTAAGCGGGAGCTTCAGCAAACAGGCCAGTACCTGGCGGAAGTCACAGGTTCGTGTATTAATTCTTTCCCAGAAAAGAGGGGACAGACCCGGGACTCAGGACGGCTCCTTGGGGCACACAACTGGACCTTGGCTTTGGAGCTTCAATTCCTTCATCCACAAATGGACAACACTTGACCTCCAAAGCCAGCCCTTTGCTCTGAGGTCCACACAGGCCTGGAAGTAGGAACCTGTGACCATCTCTTGGACAAAGCCCTCTCCCTGCTGGGCACAGCCTGGTTCAGGCTGGCTGTCACCACCTTCAACACTCAGATGCTTTTCAGAGGGTAGAGCTGGTGACCCCGAGGACCCTCAGGGCCTGAGCACCCATCAGGTATGGCCAGAGTCCTGAGAGAGGTCAGCTGGGCCTCTAAACCGGCTGCCTCTGCCTAGGGCCCAGGTTCAGTCTGGGCACCCCCTGCTCCTCTCTGAGCCTCACACCTCCCCCTCCCCTGCCACCTAGAGGACCATCCCCCAACTGCTTCCCTCAAGGCCGTGTCCTCTACCACTCCTGGGCCAAGAACAGCACCACCCGCTAGAGACCAAGGAGCCTTCTCTGACCACCCTGTCTCCACCGTTCCCAGGTTACAGGGCCCCCACCCAGGGAGTGACAGATTGTCATCTGCCCCTAGGGCGGGAGAGTCAAATGTGGCTTCTGGGAGACATCCTGAAGGCCCCTCTGCTCCATACCTCTAGCGGAGCCCAGTGGAAAAAAGCACAGGAGACCCGTGGGTGTGGGCACTCACCTGGAACCAGGAGGACGACAGATCCCCAAACGTCTGCAAGCCCCCAGGAGGCTGCCTGCCCTCAATGCATGAGAGGAAGCGCCTCGCAGGAGCCAAGGTGTACCTCCTTAGGAAGACGCCACCTGCACGCCCTGCCCACAGGGCCCACCTGAGCAGTGCGGGAAATCAGGACCAGAATCTGCACAAGAAGCTCCTCCTCCCCGGGCCTGGCCCCTGGGCCTTCTCCTGCCCGCTGCTGGGCTGCAGGTGTGCAGCGCAGGCCTTGCACGTGGGAGCCTCGGGCCCAGGTGGCCAAGGGCAGGAACTGTAGGCAGGCCCCTTGGCATTCAGAAGCAGTGAGGGCTTTGGAGTGCTCAGCAGCCCGTGGACAAAGACTTCAAAAGGGTCATCATTCTCCCTCTGTGTGCCCTCCAGAGAACCCCCTGCAGTGACAGCTGGCCTCCCTGCCCTTCCCACGGCAGAGCTGGCCCGCCTCCTTTGAGAGCTCTGTTGCATTTCTCTCTCCAGATTCTCAGTCACATACAACATTGTCCCAAGCCGCTAAATCTCAGGCACCCATGCCCAGATCCTGCCCAGCAGGGCACCGGGACCCTGGCAAGGCCCTCTCCTAGGCTGGCCCAGTGGGGGCAGTGCCTGGAGCATTCAAACGCTAAGCAAAAAAAGTTGCCTTTTTTTTTTTTTTTTAAGATATTTTTAGTTGTCGATGACCTTTACTGTGGTGCTGAGGATCAAACCCAGGGCCTCACATGTGCTAGGCAAGCGCTCTGCCACTGAGCCACCACCCCAGTCCCCAAAAGCTGCCTTTCCAGTCTGATTCCACCCACCTGGGTCCCCCACCCTCAAGAGTCTTGCTCCTCCCTCATCTGTGGTTGTGGGCAGGGGTTGCCTAGGGACCCCCCAACAATCCCTGGGAGGCCTCCCTGCTGGCACTGGACCTGATGTCAGAGAGGCTCCTGGTTCTCCTGAGCCTTCTTGAGCAGCCCGACCCCCCAAGCCTGGGGCTTTCCAAGACCAGTGGCCTACCACATGCAGGGTGGGGTGTGCTGACAGCAGGGACCATGCGGACAAAAGACTCACCAGGGAGGACAAGGACACGGGCGGGGAGGGCACAGGTAGGCTTTATTAGCAGTCAGTCCCCACATGACCAGCAGGCCACACACTGTACCCACCCGGACCTGAGGCGGCTCCGTGACCCAGCCCTGCAGTTCTCCCCAGCCAGGGACCCCAGGGCCTGACCACAGCTGCTAAGGCACCCACCTGCTCCTCCTGGGCCCTGACCCTGAGGACAGCCTGTCCCTCCTGAGTCTCCATGCCCAGGTGCAGGGTCCACAGGACGGCACTGGGGAGTCACTGTGTCATTTAGCCCTTCCCAAGGTCCTGCCTGCAGGAGGCCATGGCCACTCAGGGTTAGAAAATGAGGCACAGTCGGTCAGAAGGGGCATCAGGACCCAGGATCCACGCTGATGATGGATGTGTCCTCACAGCGGCTGGCCTGTCCTCTCCCTGAGATTTACTTTGATCTGTGGAGCAGGGAGCCGGGGAACTTGCAGAGGCAGGTGCCCGCCCACGGTCTGCCTGGAGTCAAGGTGAGGCACGTGGCGCTGCCAGCTGGGCACTGGTCCCTCAGAGGCTCAGCTCCGGTAGCTGCGGAGCAGGTGCCCAGCAATCACCAGCCTCTGGATCTCACTGGTGCCTTCGTAGATCTCAGTGATGCGGGCGTCACGGTAGTGGCGCTCAGCGGGCATCTCTGTCACATACCCCATGCCACCCAAGATCTGGATGGCCTAAGACAGAAAGCAGGGGCTCAGGAGGTGAAGATGGGGAGGGCCCTGCACCCAGGAGGAGGGGAGCACCTGGACGCTCACCTGGTGGCTGATGGCTGTAGCGGCCTCCGATGCAGCCAGCTTGGCCATGGCCGCCTCCTAACCAGTGGGATGGCAGTCAGCAACCTCCCCTGAAGGGGAGCACCCCACTCCACAGCCCCGCAGCAGGGGTGGACCTGTGGGAGACCCTTTGCACAATACCCCACAGGCCCACCCCTCTGACCACAGGGGGCCAAGGAACTGAGACCCACCCGACACCTCCCTCAGAGGGTGCCCTGTGTCCCCACCCCACACGCACCTTGGTGAAGGGCTTCTTATTATCCTTCAACATGGCAGCGCGCCAGGTCAGCAGCCGGGCACTCTCCAGGGCCAGGGCCATGTCTGCCAGCTTGAACTGCAACGACCCAGCCCCCTCCATCAGCAAGTATACCTCTTCCCTCCAAGGACAGGGACGAGGGGGAGGAAGACGCAGGACCGGAAAGAGGCCCCTGGCTCCAGACCCAGCTGCAAAAGATGCCGCCCTGGCCCCATACCTATACCTGGATGCCCTGGAGCTTGGTGAGGGGCGCCCCAAAGGCCTGGCGGTTCTCAGCATAGTTCACAGCGCAGTCGAGGGCGGCCTGGGCAATGCCCAGGGCCTGGGAGGCAATTCCGATGCGGCCCATGTCCAGGGTTTGCTGTGGGGACCGCCTGCCTGTCAGTGGCTGCACGGCGGGGCCCAGGGCCTGGCCCCAGGGCACTGCCCACTGCCAGGCTCACCATGGCTATCTTGAAGCCCATCCCTGGCTCCCCCAACAGGTTCTCCTTGGGGATGCGACAGTCCTCAAAGATGAGGTTGGCTGTGGATGAGGCCCGGATGCCCAGCTTGTCCTCCTTCTTTCCCAACGTGAGTCCAGGAGTTGGCATGGGAACCAGGAAGGCACTGATGCCCTGGAAGGCCCCAAGAGGCTTTGTGAGGCTGCCAGGCTGGACGTACCAAGACAGCCAACACAGCCCGGGGCTCCCACACCCTCTGCTGGCCTGGTGGGAGGAGGTGAAGGTTCCAGGGGGAGGGACGGCCCCACCAGAGCAGGCACAGGTCAGGAGGGTCTCAACTGAAAGAACAACAGCCCAGAGCCCTGCCAGCCTGGCCCACCTTGTTCTTCAGCGATCTGTCTGTGCTGGCAAAGACCACGGTGGCTTTGGCTTCCCAGGAATTGGTGATCCAGGCTTTGGTGCCATTCAGGACCCACGAGTCGCCCTCTGCCCGGGCTGTAGTGGAGGCTGCTCCGGCATCGCTGCCGTTCCCTGCACCACACACAGACTCAGGCTCAGCCTCCAAGCGAGAAGGACCCCAAGCCAAGTCCTCCCTGCAAACCAGGGGCAGCAGCATTCCCTCCCCCGGCAAATGGTCTCCGCTGCCCACAGGGCCTTCCCTCTGGCCGTGGGATAGGGAACAGCACCTGGTCCAGCAGCACAGGCTCTGTCCCTGCCTCTCCCAGGGGCCCCCAGCTCCCATCTGGGTGTCACCTGATTCTGAGGTGAGCCCACAGTACCTGGTTCGCTGAGGGCAAAGCAGCCAATTTTGTCACCACTGGTGAAAGGTGTGACCCACTTCCGCTTCTGCTCTGCAGAGCCAAACTTCATGATGGGCCCCAAGTAGAGAGACTGGGAGGACAGCAGGCAGCGGTCAGAGGCCGCCCAGTAGCCTGCGGTCTCCAGAGGTCCACTCCACAGAACAAAGTCCAGAGGCTACTCCAGGGAGGTGAGGGTTGGGAGCCTAGGCTGGCCGCTGGCCGCTGCTCCCTGGCAGGGTCCTGCCCACCCACGGGAGCCTCCCGCAACCTGCAGGTCCTGGGAGCCCAGGAGGGCCTCACATTGTTGACGCTCATGATGACTCCGGTGGAGGCACAGCCGCGGCTGATCTCCTCCATGGCGATGGAGTAGGCCAGGTAGTCGAGGCCGGCACCACCAAGCTCCTCGGGCACGTCCATGGCCAGAAGTCCCAGCTCACCCATCTTCTTCACCTGGCCCAGGGCAAAGAGGAGAGCGTGAGGCCAGCCCCCAGCCCCCACTCCTCCTGCCCCGAGGCAGCATCTGCAGACACTCGGGCCAGGTCCCCACTCACCCATGCCTGTCCCTGAGTCCAGGGAGGGGCCTCCCCCGCCTGGCATAGAAAGCTTTTAGGGGATTCCAAGGTGAGGAGCAGGGCAGCACTGTGCCCACCCGACCTTCCCTCACTCCCCGAGGTGCGCAGTGCACACCTGTACTCCTCTCCCCTCCATCCGCCTTGGCACGTGCTGTTTCCTATGTCACACGTCAGCAATGCCCTCGACAGACTAGTTCTTTTCTCCTTCTCGCCTTCTGTTCTTTTCTTCCTTTTTTTTTTTTTTTTGGTACCAGGGGTTGAACCCAGCGTCACTTAACCACTGAGCCACATTCCCAGCCTTTTTTTTTTTTTAATATATTTTATTCAGAGACAGGGTCTCATTGAGTTGCTTTGCACCTCGCTAAGTTGCTGAGGCTGGCCTTGAACTTGTGATCCTCCTGTCTCAGCCTCCCAAACCGCTGGTATGACAGGCGTGCACCACCGTGCCAGGCTTCTCCTCTCCTGATCTCAGCTCAAGCCCCACCCCTCTGGGCCACCACTCTGTTGTGCAGAGTCTAATCACGCTCTTGCAACACCCTCACAATAGCTCTGCAGCCAGAATTTCAGGTCTATCAATGTGCTCATTCTGACTAAGACCTCTTTTTGATCATGAGGGGCAGGGACTTTGTTTTTCCTCACTGCTACATACCCAATGCCAGTAAAAGGAAAGAACGGATGATAAGAGTTTAGGATTTTTTTATTTGGAATAATCACAATAATAATAATAGTAATTATTAATATCAAGTGCCTATTATATGCCAAATTCTGTACCTAAGTGATTTATGTGTACTGCTTCATTTGAGTCTCTCAGAAGTTTGTGAAACAATGCTCATGTTAGCCTTATAGTACAACTGAAAAAACTGGGGTTCAGAGAGGTTAAGGAATCTGCTCCAGGCCACAGAGTATGTAAGTTATGGTTGGGACTGAAACCTGGGCAAGGCACAGAATCTTAACTAGCTTATCATACTGCCCAGCTCTGCCCCTGTGAACCTATGACAAGTCCCTTAACCTTTCCAAGGCTGCTGTGCACCTGAGATGCGGACCACAACCAAACCTACCTAACTTCAGGGAGAAACAACCAAAACCAGGTGCTTCTGAGATGCAGGGAGCGGGAAGAAGGGGAAGTGTTTTGATGAGCCCTCTCCTTCGGTCACCCTCTGGCATCCAAAGGGGACTGGTTCCAGGACGCCCTGCAGATATCAAACCCGCAGAAGCACAAGTCTCTCATATAAAATGGTGTCTTATCTCTACAGCACGGAGGAAATGGGTTGACTGACAAACTGACGGGTTGATAACAGGTATTAGGCCTTGTGTAGGCCAGGTCACACACACCGTGATCCACATCCCCAGCTCTCTCCCAGAAACTTTCAACCATGTCTAGGTGACTCTGAACCCCTACTATAATGTAAATGCTCTGTACCCAGTTGTTATATTGTATCATTTAGGGAATAATGTCAAGAAAACAGGTGGACATGTTCAGAAAGAGGTGGAGTTCTTTTTCGGAATATTTTTGATCCTAGGTTGGCTGAATCCACGGGTGCAGACTCCAGGGATACTGACGCATTCTTAACCATTTTCTTACCATTTTACTTAAAGGAATAAACTAATAATAAGGCCTGTGGGTCTTTTCTTCTTTTTCTATAATTAATCTTAGTTCTGGATTCTGAAAGTTTTCATTCCTCTTCCCCCAAAAAACAGTACTTACTGCACAGGTTTGTTCTGAGATTGATGAGCATTTAATGTCACCAGGGGCTGAGAGTTCTTATTTACCATGACACAAGGAGAAGGGGTACCTCTCAACCTGCTGGGATGACTTCTGTGACAATCTTTGTCCTCTAGGAAACTGCTTGCTTGATTCTTCCTTGGACTGTTCCCCTGGGAAACTCTTACAAGACTCAAAACTTGGGGTGGGGTGAGGTTTCCACACCTCAGGTCTACCCTGCATAATATGAGTGGGGCATAAACTTGTCTGCACTGTGCTGACCCCAGGTGCTGATCAAGTTCTTCAGTCCCCAAGGTGGACACATGCAAGGAAGAAGATGGCCAGGGTGCAGGTGGCACAAGGGCAGCCTCCACAGATATCCACATCCTAATCCCTGGTCATTTTGTGACCACCAAACACTTGGGGGAGAGGGTATGAACCTACTCAGAAATATGCATTTAGGGAGAGCCTGAAGAGTTAACCCAGAGTCCTTTGCCACTAAACTATATCCCCAGCCTTTTTTAAAAATTTGAGACACTGTCTCATTTGCTGAGGGTGGCCTCAAACTTGCAATCCTCCTGCTTCAGCCTCCTGAGTCACTGGGATGACAAAAGTACACTACTGTGCCTGGCCAGAAATGAACATCATTTCAACAGGCAGGAATCAACTGGGGAGCAGGCAAGTTCAAAGCCAAGGATGGTTTCTGCAGTTTTTTTACTGTGTAGAGAAGATGGAGACGGCACAGTGCTGACACAAATGTGGCTCGGGACACAGCACCTCTCCAGCCCACACACGAGGCATCCAGCAAACCTCTTTTCAGGTGACAAAAGAGGTTTGTTATGGAATGCCTCTGCTGCTGGACCCTGCATTCTAGGTTCTAGAATGCGCAAGGCTCTTAAGACTCACGTCCAACACTCATAGGAACCTTGTTGAAAGGCTCTCTCTCCTGCCTCCCAGCAAGAGACTGAGGCTAAAATAGCTCATGCTGTTTAGAAGGGCTGGAGACATAGCTCAGTTGGTAGAGTGCTTGCCTTGCATGTACAAGGCCCTGGGTTCAATCCCCTGCACCACAAAAAAAAAAAAAAAAAAAAGAGAGAGAGAGAGAGAGAGACTGCCCTAGAACAATGGCCAAATGGCTCACCCAGGACCCCACTGCATCCCAGAGACAATGACAACCAGAAGTGCTGGGCAGTTCTACTCAGTTCTCCACACCTAAAATGCCCAGGGTCCCTTCCTGACAGGTGGGCAGTGCAAGAATTTTCTCATTTTCCTTTTCCAGATGGGGGAACTGACCCAGAGAGGGCACAGGGAGCCATGGCCAGTCCAGGCCACAGGGAGCCAGCTGGAACTCTGGCTTGGCCTCTCTTCCCGCCTCCTCTCTGGCTGCCTCGACAGTCCCCCTGGGCCAGCTCGGCAATTGGAGGAGCTCCCAGTGGCCACAGCCACAGGACTTCACCAGCCTCCCCTTCCCCTTCCCATCAGCGCTTTCTTTTTAAAACATCGACTCCCTTGGCCAAAGGGAGAACGCTCCACCCCCCAGCCTGTGTCCACCCAGCCACCCCACTTCATCAGGGAGCCCAGGTTGTCTGGCCTCTCGCCGACTGACATGGATCTCTACATCTCAGGCAGCGTGCTGCGGCCAGCCCCAGGAATATTCTAGAAAAAAAGCTGGGGATGGAAGCCATATGGCTGACAATGTGCTCTCATTAAAGGGCATCCTGAAAAAGGGACAGGAGACCAGCAGTGAGGGAAAGAGAGGGTGACAGAGGAGACAACATGAACGAAAAGAAGAAACCAAAACAAAAGAGCACAGTGGGGGGACGAGGGGTCAGCAGGTGAGTGGGGTGACTGCTGGCAGGCCCGGCAGCCCTGGTTTCAGCATTTCTCACAGAGAGGCCTGACCCTCAGGGCCCTCTCAAGGTCAACCTCCCATAGCGGCTACAGTGTGGCTCTTGGTCCCTTGTGTCAGAGAACCAGCAACTGGACCTTCACTCTAGAGAGGCTACTGCCCCTGAGGGTGCCCAGCGTGGCAGGTTCCACACTCCCCAAAGAAACCAGGGGAGGCCCTCCTCTAGCAGCCACACACCACTCAGCCTCCAGCACCTGCCGCCTCGAGTTTGGGAGTGTTTAAAGGACACTTCGCCCTCAACCTTCCTGTTTGGGCACATCTTTGCCAGAAGCCAAACAACACTACCCGATCTTGGACTTTGAATCTCCAGGACTGTGAGCTAAACAAAACTCTTTTCTTTATAAAGTGAAAAGAAGAAGAAGAAAAAAAAGGAAAAAAAAAGAAAGGAAGAAAGGAAGGAAGGAAGGAAGGAAGGAAAAAAGGAAGGAAGGAAGGACAGATGGACAGACAGACTTCTATCAAAACAACGCTTCAAGGCACTTCTCATCTAAACTGGCATTTTAAAAATACTGCATTTATTCTAGGCACACCTTATTCACTAAACTAATTACCTTTTTTTTTTGGATGTGAGGGTACCAAGGATTGAACTCAGGGGCACTCGACCCTTGAGCCACCTCCCCAGCCCTATTTTGTATTTTATTTAGAGACAGAGTCTCACTGAGTTGCTTAGGGCCTCACTGTTGCTGAGGCTGGCTTTGGACTAGCCATCTCCTGTGTCAGCCTCCTGAGCTGCTGGGATGACAGGATGTGCGACTGTGCCTGGCAAAAACTAATTTCCTTTAAAAAATAACATATCCTACCTTGATGAGGAGTTGCCACTAATTCAAGATAAAACCCAGGGGCTGGGATGCAGCTTGCTGGTGGAGCTCTCGCCTAGCAGTCCAGAGGCCCACCCCCAGCCCCTCCTCCAGATGCTGCTGTGTGTGTGGATTACAGGCCGGGACTGGCGCTTATCGAATAGGTGCCCAATTTGGCTTAATTCAACAAAACCCTATAGGCATCTGTTGACTGCTGAGCACTTACTACCGACAAGGTGTCACAGTGACAGAGGACAAGAGTAAGAACAAGTGCCTGACTCTGCCCTCAGGAAGCTGTCTGAAATAACTGATGTGGGACACACAGCACAGAAGGATCGGGTAACTATGGTTGACGACAACAATAATTAAATATCTCAAAACAGCCACTAGAGTGGACCTTGAGTGTTCCCAACACAAAGAAATAACAAATGCCTGAGGGGACAGATGGGGCAATTATCCTGATGTGATCA